CTACCCCACTGGTTGTATTGTTCCCCAGTAATTTTCCCGGTATGTAAAAGAAAGACTTTTACTTACTGGCGAGATCTTTGAAACACATCTCTAAATGTAGTGGCATTGTCAGGGATAAACTCGCCGATTCTATCATTGACAGACACCTACAAGCATGCGAAAGTTTCACCGCCAAAGTACTCTCAGACATCACCCATTACACAATGAATTTTCAAAAGCTGTATCTACATCATCCACACGCTCAGGATTTAAACTTTTATTTACACGTACCTTTGCTTATCGTAATTCTGTTCTGCCAATTTCAGTTGCATTATGTAATGATTTTGTAAATTTGAATCCACAAATATGGTGTAATTGCTGAAAACACACCCATCCGGGTGCATAAAGCTACTACTGACTTGACTTGAATTTAAAACTGGACATATATAACACTGTTTCCCCTCGGAACACGCTCATGATTAGTGAGGGGACATCCCATCCCCGGAGAAAACGCAATTACCCTGTCCAAACCATCAAAATTTATTGTTTTTTGTTTTGATCAAATACCTTTCGTAAGCAGAAATGACCGTTGGGTTACACATCTCCGGTTTGACGGAAAATTCCATTTGGTTCTGTGCTCAAAGAATGCAATACGATTGATTATACCATTTTTGAAGTGTGTTGCCTAATGAGACGGTTGTGAAAATCAATCAAAATGCAAGGATTGAACCGTTCTTATTGAAATCAGTTGATGCTGTTCGATCCACAATAATTGTGAGCATATTCGGGTTTGCTGCATGTGGATAATGTCGTTTGTTATGTGTATTATTACATGTGTTTTTGGTAGACGACAATAAGCCAATGCAAAGAATTAACTCCCCGGGTAATACTGATTTTGGCCTCAGTTAATTTTTATTCATTTGTACATTCACCTTTTTGTGTCATGAGTTCCACCGAATTGTGATTAGACGGCCAATGAAAGGGATAGTATTCACCATTCATGAGACTTTTAGACATTCGAGTGTATTTTCACAACAATTAGGTTATTCCTTCCATTCGAGTGCATTCCGATTTGATCGGGGAAAACATATGATAACGTGCTTTCGAAAACAGTCGACCAGGATACAAACCATCTGAGAGTACAAAGCCTCCTAAGGCCTCAGAATGATCGGGGGTGGATGTGTCAAGGGTTGCAGCGGGTTACCCTGCCCTTGCAACTCGTGAAATGCTCCCATAAGATCAAGCATCTCAAATAGCCTCTGCTGAGGGAAACCTACTCACTGCCTTCTCCTGGCGGAGGTGTTACCTCACCAAAGTGAGAGAACGAATAGCCAACATCCAGGGATAATATCGGGTTGGTGGATCACTGGTAGTTCACCTAGGGGAGGCAGTCAAAAACCCTGATTCCAAACCAACCAAGAGGAGGCATATGAACCACATACCTTCCCGGTTGTGGCGATTGTGGTTACTGGATCGATTAGGCCTCGAGGTGTATTGGGCACCTTGGACGTTTGACCCCGTCCAAAGGGCGTATGATCCAATGAACTGGACACCGGCGATTTTTGCACACCACTGTGCTGTCTTGCTGGTCAGTCGTTGGCTAGCCAAATGCTTTGGTTACGGATTCGCCTGGGCAACCTGTCAGTATCCGGTCCACATGCCAATCATAAAAGTTATAAAGGTTATTGTAACATGATTTGTTTGGCACACATTTTGGATCCAGACGTGTGTGGAAAGATATAATATGAGAGTAGAAACCGATTCGTAAAAACAGGAGATGCCCAGAAATAGAGGACGTTAAAATAGAGAAGACGATTTAAAATAAAGATTTTGGTAAACAGAATATTTCACAATGTAATAATTGAACAGAACCGTGAACGAAAAACGTCCACCAGAAAGATGCCCGACCGCATTTCACAATGCACGAATTCATGATTAAAGTAAATAATCACTGAGCTATGCGCAGACAGGTCAGAAAACAAACGGTGCTCAAGAGGAATTAGTCTCATGTACTCCCATCGGTCACTTACGTGTAACATTGAGCAAGACATGCAAACAAAGTGAATTAAAAAAATTAATAGTTAGGTTTTTATCCTGTGTGTGTGTGTGCGTTGCACACGATTGGTTGCAGTCATGTAAGGTCAAGGGTAAAGATCAAACGCACACAAACAGACACACAACGCGGGTTCGTTCAGTGCGGAAGACATAATAAAAAAGACGAACAGGAAATGGCTATTCGGAGTCTTGTGTAGAGTTTCATAACCGGACAAGAAACCAGATTCAAGCATCCATTCATCGGGTGTCTAAAAAAGATATCCATATCTCCCTGACACACAGAGGAGAGTCAACAATGCACTCGTCGCATAGTGCATAAAGAACGCTTTACGGAGAACCTACTACACCACCGCATCATGTTTCCATTCGTTCCCACGGTGTCTCCACCTTCTCCCTGATCACCAATCAGAAGAGTCTACCGCCCATTGATTGCATTTACAACTTGTGTTACAGCTGAAATGATGCATACATGGGTAGATTCGGTCAACCAATCACTGCGATCCAGAATGGCTGAACACGTCCTTAAGTACTACTTTACTACGGCTGGCTCCCTGGAAAGGATAAGCCGGCGCCAGACATGATCATGATCATGAAGTTACTTGGGATTTTCGCATGAGAGACGTCCCCAGCTTCACTCGGCGCTTTTTATTTCTAGGGCGCACCCCTAGACTTGGCACAATCAACGGCGAACTACATAAGGCAGCAGGAAGTAATCCCTCGCGTCGGAAGTCGGTAGGGGGGAGAGGGTTAATGACTTTACTTTTAAAAAGGCCAGTCACATCGAAATTTGTCACGACACTATCATTGGACTTATGCGGTTTTTAAACAGGAGCCAGGTGGCCCACCTGAAATTAGCCACACCCTGATAGTGCTACCGCTGTTTGTTCGCGACTGCTTATTTGTTGCGGTGTGCCACAAATTATTCACAGCTAACCTTTTTATTACGCACATTCGTGTGATAAGCATCAGACGGGGAAAGCCCCATAGTCACGAGGATCTGCTGTTCAGTGACGGTAACCTAAGCCCTGGCGACTTGGAGTAGCGAACCACATAAGGCCCCGATAGATTAGGTGTCATATTGAACCGGACGACAGTACAGCTACCTGCCACCAAAGTGGTAGGAGTGGTGTTGACGGGGCTCAAACCTTGGACCATAGAGTCCAAGCACGCCGGTGATAGCGAATAAACCACTGCGTCAGCACCACCTGTGAAGTTATCCCCCTATTCACAACCCAGGGACGCGCCTGGTAGCATTCAGCTCAGCTTAACCCGTCGTCGTTCCTTAGGTTCACCTGCTTAAATCAGTGACTCACCTACACCACCGATTTTCCCTGCATCAAGTAGACCGACCTCGATGTCTCTTGGTTGAAAGCGGTCACGGTGTGAACGAAGTTCTCGATTTTGTTACGCCAACGGGGCAAGCATCAAGCTGGTGACAAACCCATGTACATCACACACACGCACGTGTACACAATGTTCGTTGGCTATGTGACTGCTGAATATCCACCTTTCAGGGGTGCATAAAGCAAATACTTGACTTGATTTGACTTGACAAATACACGCATGTACACATGCGACGAAACTTAATTCAATTCCCTCATCTATTTTGTTCAAAGTTTACACGTAAGCGACCAATGAGAAGGCACGAAACGAAATCCTGTCGCGCAGTGTCTATCTTCGGACTTTCCTAGACAAATTCATTACGGGATCTAAATGTTTCAATCCCTAAAATACCCTCTCAGTTCGACATTTCCAATGTGATGGGTACTGATAGCTCCACAGGCACTAGTAGTCGGCGGTTAGATGAATGCTGAAAATCAGGCTTTAAAGAAAAATTAAACTAATTATTGAACACTTCCATAGAGTGACTAAAATTTTGCTATCCTCAGATATGTTCCCTCTTAATGGTGGATCGGAGGAACAATATATACACATCGATCACGTATTTGCATTGTTTAAACTTCTAAAATGTTATTAAAATGCAGTCGGAAAACGTTCGCAGTTAGGTTACATATTATTCTGACAAACGGGTGCATTTTAATTAGGACGGCATGTTGTGTTACAAAAAGATATAGTGTTCATTAGAAACCAGTTGGTGAAAGGTTTTTACGTGCTAAATAATTATTCAATTCAGATAGATCAATACACATGGCTGATAATTACGGAGACTACGTTGTTTGATTGATATGTGAAATTTGGCGCATCACATTTTTACGATAAACTGTATTATTGATTCACCATGTTTTAGCATACCTTCACAATCAAAAGACGACAAAAAAACGAACAAAAAACATGGCTGTTTAAACGTCTATTACAGTTCAGATAAATTGATAGAGATTTTTGACGAGATCCACAACTGTCCGTGCAACAAATCGAACCTACCGGGTAGGAACGTGGTATAGGCCCATAATGTTTGCTCACAACTTTGTGAAATATTGCATTCTATACGAATGTACACGGTCAATTGATGTTTGAAACAAATATATTANTTCAGAACTATATAGTGAAAGACATATGTCTAGGTCAAAATGTTACAACTGTAAGCGGAGAAAACTGATCAATATCTGTGAGTGAGAAATTGGACGACAATAAAAAGTGTGAATTGCACATTTGATCGTTGTGTTTAATAATATCCGAACAGAATGGTCTTCTCAGTTCAAGACAGTTAGGCCAATCGGCCCATCACAGATCGTGACTAATAGTTGTTCCAAAGGGAGAATAAATTATTCACATCGAAAATGATTGTTCCTTCTAAATTTGTTTTTTCCTATAAGACTTGAAGGTACACGAATTGAAGTCAAGGTGAAAGATGTGCTAAAATAAAAACTTTAAGGTTACAACAATCAATAATTTGCTTTCCTGCAGGCATGTAGTTCTTTAGTCCCGAAAATTCTAGTCATTTCCAGTGATGGACCGACAGTCAGCGCTGCAGAACCACGACCGGGTCTCGAGTGTGCGATGTTCGTTCAACCGGTCTTGAACAGTAGAATGGCCAGATTTCCAACGTAGAAGTAGATGAAATGATTCGACTCATGCGTCACGTAGCTGAAAATTAAAGTAAGTTTGGGGTTAAAAATAAAAGTAAATTATATTATTGATAATCTTGAAAAATGATAGAAAAGTAACGAAATAATTGTTTGTTTTGCTGACTGCTTTCAAGGTCATCTAAATCCGAGATATATACCATCATTTTTCGCTGTATTGGTAAAACCACACACATGTTCATCAAAATGTATTTTACCATCAGCCGTTCAACACGCCGGTGAAGATCGTCCAGCAGTGTTGACCGTTCAAGTAACACAAAATAAAAGAAATGTAGTTCTTTCGCCAAATTAATNGATCCAGGAATGTGTCTGTAGAACGAATTCTGTAGGGGGGTAGCCAAGTGGTTAGTTCGCCAAATTGTGGCCCGGAAGTCCTGGGTTCGAACCGCTCCTCTGCCGCCTGCCATCCGTATTTCTGTATTTCCCCAGGCAGCTTATGTATGGCCTCAGCCCCCTTCTTGAAGGTTGACTGTACATTGGTATACTCAGTAAATAAAAACGGAAGTAAAAAGACATTTATATGTTACATTTACATTTTCAGTGCAAAATCGTTTGCGTGTACATGTAACCGTGTGGAAACCTACTGCATCAAGTAGCTATTCTTGACAAATAAATTAGCCTTCATAATGTCGAATAACTGGTTTTCAGTCGTCCGTGAAAACCTACATTGAGGATATTTTGTCCGATTGAATGGTTTGAATGCGCCACAGTAACTCACAGGCATCCTGTAAAATTCTGCTAGCAAAAGATGCATTACAAAGTGGAAGTCCACGACGCCATGCCCTATGACATTTCTGTAAGAAAAACAAACGTCAACACCGAAAACAAAGTAGGTATTATAAATGTATCTGCAGATAAATAATCCTTTGGCGGTGTACTTTAATCTGTGGAAATCTCAAACCCCACCAGTGATTACGGTGAGACCAAGATAGCTCTAATTCGGACTCCGATCAAAGTAGACTGCAAGGTTGTATCGCAGAGGAAACTTTGAAAGAAGCAGAAGAAAGTGTTGGACCGCCTCATCAACCTGGCAACGTGGATACGATGATGTATTTGGAATAAGATGCACAAGTTTCATCAAATTCATCAGCCGCTGTTTGTCGTTCTCCTACAAACAGTCGCAGTGGTATTTTCTCGATTACGAAACCTGGCTTTGTTCTCTTTTTAAACAACTTCCACTTTTTTCGGGATGGGAGAAGAGCTGCCATTGAAAACATTATAGAGAAATTTAGACGGTTCTGATGATAGGATTTGAACACACGTCTTTCGAGACGAAAATATCGTAACGTTACCATCGGACCGCAACCACCCATCATTTCTTTTCTGAGAAACTCGCCTTGTTTGGACCCAAACTGACATCAGAGTCCCAGGATGGACATGTTCTTGCACCATGGTTGAAACACAGATTATATGTTCACATACATCTTGAATTCTAAAAAAATGTTCGCTCTTTACAAGAGTTGTTTCCGGTTGAAATTACCAATTCAGACGTGGTTCACCAAATCATTGTGTTTACAGGAATTAGCAAGCTTTGTATTTTTTTCACATATGGATAGTAAAGTCACGCTGAACATTTTCTTCAGATCTTTTGATATTTCTCACTGAATGAAAGAGCTCTTTGTAACGCGTCTTTTCGGCGTGTTGGTGTCAAAAATACACGTTCCTGTAAAATAGTCACACTAGTGTTCCCCAATTTACTACTNTACTCTTTATTACTCTCCATTAGATTTGTTATAAACATGGAAATATTGCATACGGCACGGATTATTTGGTACATGATTTCGGTGGCTAAGCGCAGTGGAAATTACCACTTGCGTTCCTGTGCGTACTTTCAATTGGTTATCAGGTCTCATGGTGGACTGAATTCAAAAGAGTATTTCTGGCCTCGAGTGTGTATAACTGTACGACTGTATGACTTGACCAAGGATGTTATCAGATTATTGAATCAGTTTTACTAAAACGGTAAATGATAGCAAATATATATTGATCGGAACAGACGAGATTCAAAACTACTGCTCACCTTCCAAAATTTTGTCCCACAATACAGTGCCATGGTGGGGAATATTTCTTGTCGAACTGTTTCTTAATGTATTGTGCAATATCTTTCTCCACGGTGTGCAGTTCCACAGCTCGTTCTGCCTGCTGAACGGCCTCCTTTTGCATCTCCTCACTCATATCACAGTCCCTGATCATTGATTGCGTGTGTGTGTGTCTGTGTCCGTTGGTTTTCTCAATCCCTTTGAGCAAATGATGGTCGTAGTGGGGATGTCATCAGATTTTAGACCGTCATTCCGTATCCATTGGTGGTGCTCATAAATCACACATGCACACAGCTTCCCCTTGGTGGAGAGATATCTCAGGATTCTCGGGACAATTTATAATCTCGTACACGAATGTGCGTCCGTGCGTGCGCGCGTGCGTGCGTGCTTGCGTGTGCCTCGATGATTTTCCGTTTCCAGCCTGAGCGGAATGTTTTGTG